TGTGCCCAGATTTGAGTCTGGAAAGAATTGTTTTACTATTATTATTAAATCAACACAAAGTATATATGTTTCAGTCTGACTCAATGTTAGATGATAAGTAGGATTCAGTATCCGTGGAACTTTTGGAGTACAAATCTGATACATCTGAACTTGTCAATGCTAGCGAGCTCCCAGCATTAGAACTGATGAGAAAGTGTCACATTGAATGGAAGCAAACGTTTTCTGTTTGAAATAAACCAAAAACAAATTTTTTCTGTTTAATTTGTTCTTACTCTCAGCCCATCTTTAGTATGTCAGAATCAGAAAAGATTGGTGACAAATCGGAGACTGCGGAAAATGGTGAGGATATGGTCACCACTACAAGAAGTGGGAGATTTATCAGAGTTTCGAAATATAGGTAAACGCAAAACTAATGTTAAAACAGAATTAATGATAGAAGGGGGGTATGAAAATTTTCACTTACATTGAAGGGGGTTACGAAAATTTTTTACATTGAACGGGGTTACGACTTTGGCATTTTCAAGGAAAAGTAGAATGCGTCGCCGGACAAAACTGGGCGACATTAGGCAAAATTAGGCGATATTAAGTGAATGGACTGTTAGGCAAAATTCAAAAATTGGGTTCACATGGCCGACATTATGCGAAATTAGGCGAAATAAGGCGACCTTTGCCCCCAACCATCAGGCATCAACTCTCAGGATTCTCAGCAACGCAGTATTGATTGGCTGCTACACAAGGTAGAGCAGCTGCTATCATACGGTATTTCATATGACCCAACAATATTTGACGTGAAATTTCTGTGGTTGCGGACGAAAAAGTGTAAATTATTTATCTGAAGTCTGTGTCATTTATAGAACAATTGACCATTTCCGTGCAAAGTTGTAATGTTTCTATAGCAAATTGAGCACGAAGCCTTGGTGTTATATTGTTCTTGATAACTATAGAGTGTAATCCGGAAATGGCCTAGCTGTTTACTACATAAGGTAAACTGGTAAAGTCTGTAATTGTACAGTATTAGTGGTGTTTTATTTGGAGTGTTTTAAAATTTGTCGTGAAATTCAATTACTATACAGATTTCAAAAACTCATTAGTAATTCATGAGGAAAACACAAAGAAAATTCATAAGCGTGTCGTATTTTTTTGTGATAAAGATTTCCCTTGATTTCATAAACTTTAACTTTCTCGACTTTTAGAAAATCACTTCGCCAATGAACTTACTAGATCGATCGTTTTTGAAGCAATGTAAAACATTCGCAGTGCGTGTTTTATCAGACCTAAAGATACTCGGCTTCCCCTCGTATCTGCAGTGTATCTGCTAAAACAATGCTGCGTGCTTATATGTTTTAATAATAAAACTAGTACGTAAAAATCAATGGATCGATTTTTCGTCTTTATACAGTACATGTAAAATCGGTATATGCAAAGTAGTCTTGTTGATTAATCTACAACCAATGAAAAATGCTAAATTAAAACTATACTTTCTTTACCGACGCTGATCAGTCGCATTCACGAGGTCAAATTAGCTACACAGACGAGCTAGATTTCTATTTTGTCAACTTAATTTTCACATGCGCTTGTATAGATAGTAGGCCTAGTGGCAAAGTTGCCTTTACAGACAAGCAGAGAAAACTTGTTTATCCTATCCTAAGTAGTCAGGGATTTTGCTAAAGCTAATTAAAGAGATTTGTCAGGCATTTAAAAATAACTGATAAGCTACAGAGTTGATCAGTCAACCATTCATAAAGGATATAGCAAACAAGTAACACTGGGAAATGACATAGTAAAGAGAATGGGACACGTTGTATTGTAAAAAAGTTTCAAAAATTGCAGCTCTGTGAATTTGAAAAGAAAAGAATTCATAAATCAAAAACCCAATGAAGAGAAATCAATTAATAAACATGTTCTGATGTTCCGGCACGAGGTGTCTCCGTCACTGTTCAAGTATATGCTCCGAGATACACACGCACACGTTGTAACAAACATGTAGCAGACATGTAGCAATGCTGTTCCAAAAACTTGTCAACAGGATGTTTCGAAGCTTGTTGACAACCGTGCTACAAGGTTGTTGAGTTCAACCGACTAGCTTGTTACACGTTGTTGTCTAATCTAAAACTTTTATTACATGGCTATGCACCACATCTTGTTGATAATTTAATGTTTGATTTTTCATTTGGTTTCCGTATTCATTTTCAAGGGGCTGAACGATTATTTAAAGCCCGCAACTTGCGATCAGTTTGGACAATTCTAAGGCAGTAGATTCAAAATTAAACAAGGAATTGGAGGCAGATGAGCTTGCTTGTCCTTTTATTTCGCCGCCACTTAAACATTTTCGTGTGTCACCATTAGGCCTGGTTCTTAAAAATAACCAGGTGATTTTCACATCATTCATCATTTGTGCTTTCGCAACGGTACATCAGTCAATGATTGCATAACCGAACATTGAAACGTGGGTTCGGTGTGCCACTGTTGACGATGCCATTCGACTTATAAAACAAGTTGGTCCGGGTTGTTTTTTGGCAAAAACTGACATAAAAAATGCGTTTCGAATTATACCCATCAATCCGGCAGATTACCAACTTTTAGGCATAAAATGGCTCGAATTTTATTGCTACGACCGTGCTATGCCCAAGGGCTGCTCGAGCTCATGGCACACTTTCGAAACCTTCAGTACGGCGGTTGAATGGATTGCTCGGGAAAAGCTGCTTATCGACAAACGGCTTCGTTTACTTCATGATTTTCTGATTATCTCATCTACTTATTTTGTATGTAAAGCATATTTAGTTTTATTTATTATTTTAGGCGCTTGTCTGTGCATTGTCATTGCACCAGACAAAACATTTGGCCCTCTCACATTTGCTGGTACTGAATTGGATTCACTTCAATGGGAAGCTCGCTTGCTTAAGGACAGAATTGAAAAGTGCGTCCAATGCATTCCCAGCTTTTTGACTGGCTTACTTAATTTTGCATGTTCGGTTGTTACTCCAGGTCGCGCATTCTTAAGACGATTAATCGATTTAACGCGCGGAATTTCACAGCCGCATTTCTTCATCCGGCTAAATCGTAATGTAAAAAGCGATCTTCGCATTTGGCAGACATTTTTATCTTCTTTTAACGGAACATCTTTATTCTTGGATGATACCTGGAGTAACAACCATAAACTTAATTTATCGCTACAATGGATGCATCTGATGCCATTGGTTTTGGCGCCTTATGTGGACGTGAATGGTGCTATGGGAAATGTCCGAAAAATTAGTTGAAATATAGTATTGCCGTCCTGGAATTTTATCCCATCGTACTTAGCTTATGTTTGTGGAATCATAGAATGCGCAATCAATGTGTTCTCTTTGTTACGGATAATGAATCTCTGGTTTCTGTTATCAATAAGCAAACATACAATGGTGCTCGTTTGTCTGAAAAACAATATTTTATTTAAAGCAAAACATATCGCCGGTATCACAGGTTATCTCGACTTCAGGTCCAAAAATATCTACAATTGGCACTAGCGCATACGCATCGTTTTTCAGTGCCCATTCCCTCTCACCTGCTGCCTGGAAATTGGCCAATATAGTTTCTGATTTGACTCAGTCCAGTCTTCAACCGTCTTCCATACCAACATATATAAACGGGCTTGGGCACTTTTCACGCCGATTCCATATAAAAATTTTTAATATCGCCTTAGTAACTTTGCCTATATCACCAAATATTATTACTGTGTGTTTGAAGTCGGACGTGTTTTTATTAGCTCCGCTATTAATTGTTATTTATATTATACGGCAAGCATTTGTTTTGACGAATCGCGCAATTTGATTGGCTGCTGACGAGGCAGGATTTTCCCGTATTGCCCACGGGCAATACGCAATTTTTTTGCCCTGCGACAAGAGCCGAGTTTCAAACGGCAAAAAGTGTCTAAAAGTCTTTCAAAACTATTCAAAACGAAGAAATATGAACCTAAACTAAAGAAAAGGAGCACCTTCTTTGGATAAAGAACTTTCTCAATATGTTTTTGTTAGCGAAAGTCGAAATTACAAGGTAAATTTTACAATGTTTATAACTATTAAAGAAGTCAGGAATAGCTGTGTTTTGACTTTGTGAAGAGCTGCAAATCTTATTTGCAGATAGCCGAGGAATTTGACACCATCCTATAAATAGAAAATACAATTAATTGAAGCAGCCACAGATTTATATTTTTCCCTGAAAATTTCTGGGAGTTTTCGATAAAAGGAGATATATTTATGAGATAAAGCGAACTAAAACCGTACTTGTCCATACTGTTTATTAATTTTATTGTTTTCATATTTGTTGTCTTTGTCTTTGATTAAATGACGAAATACCTCGTATTTTTGAGTAGTTTTACTAAACAAGCTTGAGAACATTTTTTACAATTGTTCTTTTTTGCAAATGTTTCGGACTTTGTACTTTGCCCTCGCGTGAACTTTTTTACCCATTTTTTTACAAACGTACAATGCCATATAATAAAAAACTTACTGACCTCAACCCGGTTCGGGCAGTACGGGAAAATATCCAACCTCGGTCTTGCTGTATTGACCGCGCTATCGCTCGGTCAATACAGCAAGACCTCGGTTGGATATTTTCCCGTACTGCCCTCACTCTCGGTCAGTAAGTTATTAATATTTACTCGAATTCTCACAAAATATGGCTGTAGATCTTCGATCTAACTTAAAGGCCAGTGGAGGAAAGTTCTACTGGAATAGTACATTATAATTAAATTGAAGGAATTTGTCTCAAAGGAATTAAAACTCTCAGGAAGATGGACGTCGCCGGGCGGCGAAGTTAAGTTATTCACAGCTGATACTGTCAGCTTGAAATGGCACGGAAAAGCCATTAAATCTATCACATTAGCTGGAAATTCGACTGAGACAAACGAATTGTCTAAGATTCTGATATCTATATGTGAAAGTTCAGTCGAAAATCAAGGCAGCAATACAGAGAGATGTCAAGACTGACAAGACCACTTCAATAATGACAACACCGAAACAAGCATGGATGCCACCTCAGGTAAAAGGCTGAATGCAGCTGGTTTATTATGCAATGACCAAGAGTCGTTGGAGAACTCTTTTAATAAAAATGACAATACTATAACTGACGAAACCAACTCGGGGGATGGCATGCTTGAGAATATTGAGAATAACAAGTTTGTTATGACTGATAATTCATGTCAGACAAATTATCAGACAGCGAACGAACGCTGGGGCCTTAATTATTCATGTACATGGCCATGGGATCAAGTTAGTACCGATATTGAGAGTCTAAAATCTAAAATGTCTACCCTTCAGTCGTCAGTTTTGTTCTTTGAAAATGTACTCAAAGATCATGACACGATATTATCCTTATATAACAGAGCGGTGGACTTAAACGAAAAATACTTAGGTGAGATAAATCGGAAAACAAGATACATAAATTCTCTTGAACAAAAGCTAATTAAAGTCGAGGAAGAAAGAGACACTCTACAGCTCGCGACAAGGCCTATTGCACAAGACAAACTTTGTCAACATAGGGGTAATAGTGTCGGTTGCCAGTGCCGCAAAAGCAACACCCGTACCATGGCAAAAAATTCCTAACAGTAATAATAACTTTCATAAAACTGACAGTGTAAGTCGACCACAATAGATATGAATGTCTAATTGTGAGGGCGAAATTGCTGAAGTTGTCGAGCCGGAACAATCGGCGCAATGCCCACCGGAGCACACAAGCCATCCCACTGGTAGCCTGCGAACAGGCTCTCAAGCTGAATTGAGAGCCTGCATCGATGACTAATGAATTTGAATATCTGCGTCTCAAATCGTGACGCGAAATTCTCATTGGTCAGATGCTGTAATTTATATGTTTCCGCTGAGCTCTATGTATGTCAACTGCTGAAGCACTATGCATAAAAAAACACATTAACTGATCAAATTGGTCTTGGCCATCTTATCTCAAAGCACGAAATGTTCTGTTTTGAGAAAACAGTATTTAAAACATTTAAACTTTTGCTTGAATATCTTATATTTCGAAAAACAGTATAAACTGTACGGTCTAAATTTAGTTTGCACGGTCTAAATTTAGTTTGCACGAAAGTTGTAAACAACACCATATAAGGATAGAATTTTCATATTTGGAAAAACGAACGTTACGGGGCAGATATTCAAATTCATTAGTCATCGATGCAGGCTCTCAATTCAGCTTGAGAGCCTGTTCGCAGGCTATCTCACTGGTAATGTTTATCAAAATCCTAATCGCCTTGGAGACCAAAGTGCAAGACTGTGCGTTGTCTTTAATCGGCGATTCTATAATAAAAAAACATCATTCCACAGAAGCTGTCGCAGAAAAAGTGCATAAATTTACATATCCAGGTAAATCAGCGGACGAAATAGAGTTCGAAATACGCAATATGGATAAAACCTAGCGCCCTCTCATGTTATATTACACTGTGGAACAAACAATCTTCCAACAGACGACCCAAATGTTTGCATCAAAAAACTTGAAGATCTGTGCTTGAGAGTGCAAGGCAAATTTCCCATGCACAAATCGGAGTGTCAACTGTCACATGTAGAAAAGACCTTCAATTAGTTAATAAAATTGAAGAGGTCAATAACAAGATCAAAGACATGTGTTCTCGTAACGACTATAATATTATACTTCGGCAGAACAGGTGGGAAATTTGTCTGAGCATGCGCGAGCAAAATGAGCCACGCAATTGCGTGGAATACACGCAACGCGTGTTTACAAAAGGGCACAATCGTGTAAATATTGCCAAATGTTTGCACAAAATAAATGACTGATTTATGTTGAAAATGGACATGATCTAAATTAACGGCATACAGATTTTTTTAGTGACGTTCTATTTCAGAACCCTGCCATTGTCTCTGGTGGGCTGTCCGTGTGCGTTCAATCTGAAACAGTTGCTACTTTGCTGTCGAAAAATTTCGAATGTTTACATGAAAATAGAGGCAAGTCATGCATTTTACAACCTCGTAAACTGTATGAGCCGCTATTTCTACGCTTATACCTAAGATACCAAATAAAAATACATGGAACAGAGAACATTTTTAGAAAGTTTTATCGTGAGGCCACGGCCGGTTTTTTAAATATCTTTATTTCTGTTCCGGTCATCACCAAAAATACACCAAAGCCGGGCTTGAATATACAACAAATTTTGAATCTCATCAAGTACAAAAATATTTAACGTGTAACCAAAATATGCTCATGAAATCGAAATTAATAGCTAAATTTTCAAACTAGACCCTTCTCGAAGCGGTATCCATGCAGAAAGTTCACATTTCGGCCTTTTATTCTTGGCAAAAATTTGACCACAACACAACGAAGCAACTGGGTCTCAAAGACTCAGCTAAAACATTGTGAGCCCCTATTTTCCTGACGATATGTTTGATACCTACAAACGCCGAAAAGTGTTTTCTTTTCATTTAGCTATATTTGAAATTGAGGCCACGGGCTATTTTTGAGAAAACAGAGTTCAAAGTCAAGCTATTTTTACATATTTTCAAAATTTGTCAAATTTCGCGAGCTTGTATTTTAAACTTAGACAGCTTCAGTTACATTAAGAAACATAGGATGGATAATTTGAGGCATATAAAGTTTATTTCAACTTACATTTCATTCTCATATCACGTCTTTCTTCGTTTATTACGGTTTTAACAAGCCACAGATCGACGTATACGGTATTTACTCCCATGTTCACGTCGCTATATTAACTTCTTCCAATCACTCGATTACAAAACAAATCATCCCAAAACAAAGAATTCATAGTCGACTTTTAAAAGAATAACCGTTAATTTGTAAATCGTTGAATGGAAGACAAAAAATCGTCAGCTAAAACAGCTTGTTGCTAAGTTACTTTCTGCTTTGTTTTGAATGTAAATGCAATGAGCTTTGTTTCTGCCCGCGATTTTTTGGTCAGCGACGGCAAATTTCCCACCTGTTCTTCGGCATAATAACATATATGAGACATGCCTGAATAATAGTAAGCTGCATCTAAATGCAAAGGGAACCGCTTTACTTGCAGTAAGATTTATTAAGTTCTTACGTGGAAGCCAGTTTTCTGGTTCTCCACCACCACAACATCACAACTATTCTAAAAATTTTCAACTAGAAGAGACACTGCACCAAATAGAGAAAACTCTGAAATCACTAACGAGACGAACTCGATAGACTCAACAATGAATATAGTAGCTCAAATTTAACTAATAATAATAATACGTCAGTTTCAACAAATTCAAGTTTATTTCTGCCTGATTTTAACATATCGAATTTAAAGGGCCTGGAGATTGCAAATTTAAACATTAACAGTCTTTTAAAACATATCGATGATACTCGTATCTTGCTGTCTGATAACCCTTTTGACATTTTGGCCATTAATGAGACTAAAATCGACTCCTCAATTTTGGATGCAGAAATTCATATTGATAATTATACAATTGTTCGTTTTAAGGGTGGTGTGGCTCTATATATAAAAAATAATATACCATACACTGAGAGTAAAGATTTAATCCCTGATAATTTAGAAATGACATGTGTAGAGATTACAAGGCAAGATAGTAAGCCTCTTCTAATTGCTACCTAGTATCGACCACCTAATTCAGAGCTCAATATATTTACCAAAATTGAATTGTTTCTTTTTAAGTGCGATATGGAAAATAAGGAATTAATCTTAGTTGGGGATCTAAACTGCGACGTTAATTAACAAGCTAGCTCCTGATTCACAAACTCATAAACTGCAAACTTTATGTTCTTTATATCAATTAACTCAAGTCATTAATAATGAACCTACGAGAATTACGGAGACAACATCCACTCTGATAGACTTAATACTTACAAATAAACCTGAATATATTTCGACTGTTGGTGTTTTACACCTTGGCATATCCGATCATAGCTTAGTCTATGCTGTTAGGAGATTTGAATTACCTAAATCTAGACCAACTATAAAAGAAGTCCGCAATTTCAAACACTTCTCTGAATCGAAATTTCGCGCTGATTTACTGCAGATACCCTGGAATACGATTTGCTATGATGATCGCAATACATGCTGGATTGTATGGAAATCAATTTTTTACGAAATTTTAATTAAGCATGCACCTGTACCCCAAAGGAGAACTATAGCTAACTCGATCCCATGGATTACACCTGCTATTAAACAACTAATGAGAAATAGAGATTACAATAAAAAGAAAGCCATTAGATTTAAATCATCAATTCACTGGGATAAATACAAATCCTTACGGAACAGAGTAAATAAGCAAATGCGTAAAAGCAAAATTGACTTTTATCACAAAGAGATAGGGGATTGTATATATTTAAATGATTTATTAAAAAAATTGGTCCTTTATAAAAAATTCCCTTACTGGAAGGAATAACAAATCTTACAGTATTACAGAAATACAGTATCAGTGAATGACAACAGCATTACCGATTCTAAGTTAATCGCCGAATCGTTTAATAAATATTTTGTTAACATTGGCCCTACTGTATAGCCTAGCTTCTGAAGCTAGTGAAGAGCTTCTTACTCAACATACTACGAATAGCTACAATAATTCCAATCCGACAACAGATACGATATTCCATTTCCATCGTATTAATGTAGAAAACAATGTCCTGGCATTAATGAACCTTAAGATAAACAAATCTACTGGCCTTGATAAAATTCCGGTCAATGTTTTCAGACTCTCTGCGGATATTATTGCCCCGTCATTAACATATATATTTAATTTATCACTTGACTCTGGTAATTATGTTGATGACTGGAAACGCGCACGAGTAATTTCAATTTACAAATCTGAAGATAGACGCAAATGTGAAAATTATAGACCAATTTCCATACTCCCCATTGTAAGTAAAGTTTTTGAGAGGGAGGTTCTTCGACGGCTTTATGGCTATCTTTTCAATAACTCATTACTATCTAAATCCCAATCAGGGTTTAGACCTAAACACTCAACCCTGCATATCTGCGTTGATACAAATGTGTGATAATTTACTTAAAAACATGGATAGTGGTCAAATAAATTGTATAGTCTTTCTTGATGTTAGAAAAGCCTTCGACTCCACAAATCACGAAATTCTTTGCGTAATTTTTTCAGAGTAACAGGAAACCAACTAAGATGAATCACACCTGAATAACAGAGTTCAACAATGTCTTATAAACGGACAAATATCGAGCCCAAAAAAATAATATGTGAAGTTCCACAGGGGTTCATCCTTGGTTCTCTATTATTTTTATTATACATAAATGATTTGCCTGATTCGTTATGTCACTTAACTCCTTCACTCTATGCTGATGACACGGAAATTATTCATCTTCTAATGACTGTGCTGACCTTATCGACAAGGTAAATATTGATCTCGAGAACATACGCAAATGGATGATGCATTAACTACTTCAATTCCACCCCAGTAAATCGAAGCATATGTTCATTGGATCTCCCTATAACCTTAAGAATAAAGTATCTGGTAATCCTATTTTAATTAATAATAAGCTAGTACCCAGGATTAATAAATATTCATGCCTTGGCGTGACTATGGACGAAAGGTTGTCTTGGGATAAACATATTGATTCTATCTGTTCATAAGCTTGGTGCCGGTATTGGTGCAATGAGACGCGTTAAACCTTTTGTACCACTGTCGACAACCAAAATGCTACATAATGCTATTATACAGCCTTATTTCGATTATTTCAGCCCGTTATGGAATAATTGCGGATTGGGCTCAAAGATAGGTTGCAAAAATATCAAAATCGTGCTGCAAGAGTACGTAATTACTGGGGCATTTCAATTTAATAATGAAATACATAATACATATAATCTTAGAAATAGGGATACTGATTTAGCAACACTTATGCCGAAAAAAGAATTCGGCAAGAGGTGCTTCAGTTATAATGGTGCCTTGCATTGGAATAATCTTACCCATGAGGCAAAAATTGCTGAATCCTTAAGCTCTTTCAAAGTTTTCAAATCGATATTAATTAAAACAAAAAATGAGTTGAAATTTGCTTGTGTGTAATCTATTTATTTATTTATTTATTAACTTTACAACCATACATAAGATAGACTAAAAAACTACATAATATGGTTGAAGGTATGGTCAACAGGACATGAATAGCCCCATATATATGAAGACCAACCTTAATGAAAACAAACTATAACAAACATAAATCAAAGACGATAGCATATATAAAATTTACAGAAAACATGACGAATTACGAACAACAGCTTAAGTTGAAAGAGCGGCACTTAGAACAGAAGGTTTTCCAAGTGCGCATTCTGTTTACATCGAAAGATGAATGAAGTAGAGAAGAGTAATGAACAGTTAGTCTGTTTTTAAAGGTGGAAACGGATGAACTATTACGAATGGTGGGAGAGAGAATATTCCAGAGAAAGACAATTCGGTTGAAAAAAGAGTTTCTGAAGAGAGAAGTCCTGCAATGATTGTTTGAAGAAAAAGTGACGAAAGAGGTGATATCTAGGTCGAAGAGACCGTGCTTACATTTAAAATAGAAGACGAGATCCTTTAGTTCCATCCAGTAGGATATTGGTAATAAATTAAGCTTTTTAAGGCGTTCAGGATATGGCAACTCATAATCCTGAAGGATAAATTTACTAGCTCGTCTTTGAACACCCTCGATGATCGCAAGATCACGTGACGATCCTTGAGGTGCCCAGATCTCACTACCATACGACATCGGACGAGAGCAAGATAAAGAAGCCTACGGCAGCGAATATCAGACATTTGCGTACAATTCCTACGAAGAAAACCAAGCATACGGTTGGGCAGCTGGCGATGTGAGGGGACCACTTTAGGTCATTGCTGATAACAACACCCAAGTCTACTTGGTTAGCTATGCTCTTAACTGGATCGTTGGTGTTAGCTATGCTCTTAACTGGATCGTTGTTGCAGCTAAAATCACTTGTAATTTTTTTGTTATATTTTTGTATTTCTTGTAAATAGTTAATTTCTTGTAAATAGGTAATTTCACGCCCCTGATGGAAACCAGCCTTCCAATGGCTGTTGAGGCTAGCGTGGTTTAAAATAAAGTTTTGTATGTATGTATATATTTATGACTCTTTCAGGCATAATATTATCGAGACCAATTATGATAAAATCTTCAAGTAACTTAGCTTTGTCTTCTACTGAAACAACAGAGTGGAGCACTGACCAATCGATTGAGGAAAGATAACGACCAAGTTGCTGTTTATTAGATGGTCTCAGGTCCCTGCATTTAATTTAAACCGCCAAAGTCATTAACAGTCGTTAATTTATACCGCCAAAGTCATTAACTTTGTGGCAAAAAATTGCAGAGTTCGGCATTTTTTTTTAATCTGTGCGTAATTTATTTGATTGAAGCCTAATCTAAATCGCTCGGAGTCTAGTCTGAAATATTAAACTTAGCTCGCAGCCTATAGTCTAAATAGCTCAGAGCTTAGCTCAAACTATTGAGCTCTGCTTGGAGCTTAATCTATATCTGCAATTAGTGTACGCATGCTGGCGGTTAGGTTATGGTCAGTGTAAGGACTAGCTCGAAAGATCGAGTTTAGCTCGAAGCCGAGTCTAAATAGCTCGGAGCCTAGCTCGATATATCGAAACTAGCTCGGAGTCTAGTTTAAATTAAATAGCTCGGAACCGAGCCTTAGAACCTAGCTCCGTAGGCTTGGGGCCGAGCTCGATGGCGCTAAATAGCTCGGAGCCTCTCTACATAGCTCAAAACCGAGCTACATTCAAATTATTGAAACCTAGATTGAATGAAGATTGAATAATTGAATCCTAAGATTGAATCATTGAATCCTTCGATTTCAATCATTGAATCATAAGATTGAATCATTGTATCCTAGGATTCTTTGAATCCTAGATTGAATCATTGAATCCTTAGATCGAATCATTCTATCCCAACTTGGATCATTGAATCCTAAGACTGAATCATTGAATCTTAAGATTGAATAACTGAATCCTAAGATTGAATTATTGAATCCTAGATTGAATATTGAAACCTAGTTTGAATAATTGAATCGTCGATTAAATAATTGAATCCTAAAAGTTAATCGTTGAATCACAGATTGAATTATTGAATCCTAATATTGAATCACTGACTTGATTTTCGAACGAATGAACTTATTAAGCCGGCAGATTGTGTAGGGAAAAACGAATTTACAAATTGTAGTTCCATATTATATGTTAAGCGATTCAGAATATGAATTTCATTCTATTAATTAGCTTAGGGTGTTAGGGCTATAGATTCATGGTTTTTGTTTATAAAACCCTGCCCTAAATTTGTTATAACATTATTTAACTGTTTTAACTATTATGTGTTCCTTACACTAACCATAACCTAACCGCCAGCATGCGTACACTAATCGCAGATATAGAGCATACTAATCAGTTCAATAAACTCACTGCGAGTATTAATCGATAAAAAACATATAATAAAAAATACTTCCCAAAAAATAAGGAAAGAAATAATTTTTCGTGGATGTGATCATGCTCTAATTTGGAAAGACAATGATTACCTGTGCTAATTCTTGGGAGTCAATATCCCACTAAACACACGTGAACATTATCTATCCTATACATAAAAGCCCCCGGGCCGTTGCTAGATGCGATATTGAGGGATGGGGGAGGGGTGAATATTTATATATTCAAGTTCACACACCGTAAAATTTGATGCTTATACTGACCCGCTCTTTAAAAAGCTAAATATATTGAAATTCAAAGATATTCGTTTGCTGCAATTAGGTCAATTTATGTATTGTCACAAAAATTCTCTTTTGCCGGAAAGTTTTAACAGTATGTTTGTTTTAAATAATCAAGTCCATACTTATATATGACACTAGACATTCGAAAGCTTTTCAAATGCCATTATGTAGAACAAGTATTAAACAGTTTTGTTTAATATTCTAGGTCCCAAATCTTTTAACTCTTTTCCATTAGAATTAGTTAATTATATACTTCCTTGATTTCATTTAAAAGAGAACTAAAAGGTTTTTTCTTCTTTAAATATTGAAATTCATCACCCTCTCGTAACTGTAAATACTGTTGAGTGTTGTATAATGAATTATTGATATGATGATCATGTATTCTTGTCTGCTAAAATTAGTATTATGTAAATAGAATAAATGTTAATCATTGCCCCAAATGCATATGTGTCCAAAGGAACCTAAATTTAAATAAGCCTGCTGGTTTCATTTTAGGCTTCCTTGTCGCTAATATATTAATCGTGATTTCAATGTTTATATATTTATTATTTTTGTGCAGTTAAATTAATGTATTTAGCAGCAAATTAAATTCATTAAACATCATTAAACATCAAACATCAAATCCATCGAGCAGAACACGAATATATGAATGTACACCCCCATCAACCAATTATCGCACAAGGATTGGCCCTGAAAGCCCATGGTTATTTATCCACTTATAAGATAGTCTGGTTAATAAAACCAGGACGCGTACGTCCTCTGGTCAAATTAACTGAGAAAATTGGATATCCCGCATTGGGTGCATGCATAGTATAATTCTGAGTGTCTCAATCGAGCGATCCCAGTAGCTTAGTGGTTTGAGCGCTGGTACTAACCTCCAGAGATCATGAGTTTGATTTCCGGTTGGAACCCTCAAGAAAATAATTTGTCAGCTTTGACTCCACTAAACTAACATATAATAATTGTTCGCATCAAGTATTTGCAACAAAATTGGGAAGGGCATTTTATGGGGGGGTAGACATGCTTGCTATTGCGGTTGGAGTCAAATTCGGCATTGTAAATGTCAAGTGTACAGATTGTAGTTATTGTAACATAAGCTCGGAAAGCTAAGTTTGTAATGTTTGCTGTGTATATTTATTACAAAAGAACGGTAACTCTGAATAACATTTTGATTTTTATAATCGACGTTTCGACTGGATTGTAGTCATCTTCAGGATAAGTGTAAAATTACAGATATACACACATATATGTGCCGAAGTTTCGACCAAAATTTTTTTATCCAAGCTACGTATTGAAGAAGATTAAAATGTTCCATATTATATATAAATGTTAATTAAACTAAGCTATAGAGTACTTATAGTGTTAGCACTGGGATATTGTAACACTAAAAGTACTCTAGCTTAGTTGACCAGAATCCAATTACATCCTGCATTGTTGGCCTTTGTTGCGGTTGAATTTCCGTACAACGTTCCACCAACCTTTTGATACCAGCATTCTGAATCTTCTCTATTTGACCCTTCCTTTCTATTTGTTCAGGACGAGGTAGCTCACAAACATACATCTCACATACCAGTAAACCATAGCTAAACACATCGACCTGCATAAACATAAATAAACAAGTAAACGGTTTCTTTTGTCGTACCAGTATGAATCATCGTACGACTTTTGGCTTGCTAGTCCAACGCTCTACAAAAATCCAGCCTACAGGGTGTATCAGAAAAAAGGTATACAATTTTGAAACGGCTCTCAATTTCACAAATCCGCAATCATGTTATGAATTTTTTATATTGATTGTTTGGGTACTTATAATGTAGAATAACCAAAAAAATTCGTAGAGCAGCCCCTATCTGTTTTAGCAGCATTTATAAAAATAACTTGCTCGCGAAATTTAAAAGGTTCAACTGCATTTTGAGTTCATGGGCGAGATAATTGTTATATGGTTTATTTATAGTCCAAATATCAGAAAATTGTCCAAATTTTAAGTCCTTCAAATAGCTGCTGAAACTTTAATTTTTTGGCACCACTGCCTTTCAAGCATGCCAAATTAATGCATTTACCTAATTTACGTAATATTATTGTCATTTTACTTTTTTTTTAACAATAACAATATGCAAATTAGGTAAATGCGTGATTTAAGTATGCGTGATAGGCATTGGTGCCAAAAGGTCTTAAAATTCAGCAAACGTTCTGATATATTTGGACCATTAATAAAACACATAACACATTTCTCGCCCATGAACTCAAAATGCCTTCTGAACTTTAATATATCGCGCGAGCTATTCAAAATGCGTTTTAAACTTTTAAATTTTGCGCGCAAGTCTATTTGTACTAATCTGTATTTATAAAAAAAATTCATGGCATTTTTGCCGGATTTGTGAAATTGAGAACCGCTTCAAAATGGTCTACTTTTTTTCTGATACACCCTCTTGTGTCTTCATTGGGGGTGATCTAAAGTAACATCACTGAAGGTAGATGTATATACTTGTGTTGGAAAACAACCATGTTGCAACTTTTGGTCACCGCAAACGACGAGACCAGACGTTGGGTCGTGAATTTAATTATTTGGGACTGCGTTCGTTTATTTAAACCAGAGTAGCAAGCGAAAATATATTTGAAAATATGTCTGCTTGATAACGAATTTAACTGATCTGTCATAAATTCATCACCTTTAACTGATCTGTCATAAATTCTTCAACTAGTTGTTCAATATCTTGCTTGACATTTCTTCTATATCCATAAAACATTTACATATTATGCAAATACTGTATATATTTTCAATATCCGCCATATTTATTTACATTAGAACCCAAACTTTTTCGGTTCACACGAAATATTAACGTCGGTGATTTTTACTAATAATAAGAGGGTAGGATCGAAGTCAGGGCGTTGACAGTCGTTAACACAATCAGCTGTTTGAGTTCTGTACCACGTAACCTGTTCAAATCACTTCGAGCGTTAGGAATCTTATGACATCATAACAACTTCGCCTAACTGATATTCTGGGGACACGTTTGTGTCATATAAGGAAGTTGGGGACACGTTTGTGCCATATATGGAAGCATGGCTTCCTCTCGCTTGGAACGATGAAATAATTGAATGATCCTGCCCTCTTATTATTAGTGAAAATGACCGATGTAATATTTCGTGTGAACCGCGAAAGTTTGAGATCTAATGTAAATAAATATGGCCGATTTTGAAAATATATAGTATTTGCATATTATCTGGCATAAGATGTAAATGTTTTGTGGATTTAGAAGCACCATCGAGCCACAGGAAGTCCAGGTTCTACTTGCCTGCTCCCGCCTGTGACTTCCTTATAACAAGGGAAGGAAGGAAAGATGCGACCAAAATAGCTCAGACTTGGCATAATGTCATGCACACGAAACTATCCTTGATTTTTCGCCTTTAAATGCATTTCTTTCAAGATTAATCGATATTCCCTGCAAGAATGATACCGTATAACTCTCAAACCAACGATCTTTAATCAAAGAGCTTAAATTCGCTCTAAAATCCGTGAGGGAATGTAAACATTTAGCTAAAATATATCCGCGTGCAAATTTGCTGGACAAAAATCGGAAGTCGTTGAACAACTCAAAATACACTCAAATCTGATTGGACAACGAATATCAACAAACATTTCAAATTTTTCTTTACTGAGAGAGGGGACAGTACCAGTGCAAATTTATTCTTTAAATTAAATTAAATTAAATTTTATAAATTAAATAAAATAAATAAATTTGCGCTGGTTTTTCGCCGACAACCCCTGTTTTGATTCAAATTCTCACTGTTCCTCTTCCCAGTAGAAAAAAATTGAAATCTTTGTTGATATTCGTTGTTCAATCAGGTTTTAGTGTATTTTGAGTTGTTCAACGATTTCCGGTTTTTGTCCAGCAAATTTGCACGCGGATATATTTTGTTGGCCGAATTTTGTCATTCCCTCACGGAGTTTAGAGCGAATTTAAGCTCTTTGATTAAAGCATCATTGTTTTGAGAGTTATACGGTATCATTCTTACAGGGAATAGCGATTAATCTTGAAAGAAATGCATTTAAAGGCGAAAAATCGAGGATAGTTTCGTGTGACATATGCCAAGTCTGAGCTATTTTGGTCGCATCTTTCCTTCCTTCCCTCGTTATAAGGAAGTCACAGGCTAGCGCAGGCAAATAGAGCCTGGGCCTCGGTGAACAAGCAAGATATTGAACAGGTAAGTTCCCATACACTTCATTTCAGCTACTTGCTTTCCATTTTCTATGGATATAGCGTGGAAATGGTTGAGATATACTTTGGAATGAGTAATTTCAATACTATATAGATTTTACTGTTTTCCGGCGATTTATGGATTATATAAAAACCTGCAATGTGTTTGGAGTAATTCCTGTCCAGCAGTCAGGCGTTGAACAAAGTGAATTCAAAAGAATCAATTATTTTTTCAATTTTGAAGTCAAAATTTCGCTATTCGTGTGATTACTTTCGAATATATTTACCTTAGGATCTTGTATTTCTCGACTGGCTTCAGGCGCGGCGTAAAGCGGTGATCCAGCATTTGGTGTATTACACACTTGCATGAAATTAGCTGAACCATAATCCGATATTTTCGCTCTTCTTACTGCACCATTTTCAATCCATAACAATACATTGGCACTGCTAACATCACGATGGATAATTGGGTTTGGCGTTTTTGAATGAAAGTAGTTGAGGCCACGCGCCACATCAAAGGAAATTGATTTAACCTCCTGATATTTCAACTGTAATTTTTCTCTTGCACGTTCCTCGAGTAATGTACGCAAAGTCATGTCCAAGAATTCTGTAACAATTAAAAGATGGTGTTGATCATTTTTCGTTGCACAAATAAACTGTAGTAAATTAGGATGTCGACATTGCGATGCGATTTCTATTTCGCGATCAAGGATTCCCGCGTTATGTGGAGATAAAATGATTTCGTAAAATTCTTTAACTGCTACTTTAGTTCCAAAAAAGTCTCTCCTGTAAACAGTACCCCAAGCACCTCTTCCTAGTATTTCATTTGAAACTACTACCGATCCACTTTCTGTAAAGATGGTAGACATGATGCCTTCGCGATATTGCTGAATCTCAATTTCCATGTTGTTTTTTTCTTGTCGAGTCTCTTGCATTTCACTGATTATGTCATCAGTTTCTTGTCGAAGATGCTGATTTTCGTTCTCCAACTGACTTTTCTCTCGTCGAATTTGCTGATTTTCGTTTTCCATCTCACTTTTCTCGTCTTTAAGTTGCTGATTTCCGTTTTCCATCTCACTTTTCTCGTCTTTAAGTTGCTGAATTTCGTTTTCCATCTGACCTTTTGCTTCTCGAAGTTGCCGAATCTCGTCAATACTTTTGGTGTTTTTCTCTCTAAGTTGCTGATTTTCGGACTCCACCTGATGTTTCACACGTCGAATTTGCTGATTTTCGTTTTCCATCTTACTTTTGTCGTCTTTAAGTTGCTGAATTTCATTTTCCATCTGAACTTTTGCGTGTTCAAGTTGGCAAATCTTGTCAATACTTTTGGTGTTTTCCTCTCTAAGTTCCTGATTTTCGTACTGCGCCTGACGTTTCTCACGTCGAAGTTGCTGATTGTGGTATTCCATCTCACTTTTCTCTTCTCGGCGTTTCTGACTGTGTTCGTGCATCTTGTTATTCCCTTGTTGAACTTGTTCATGTTGTTGAAGTTGCTGAATCTCTTTTTGAAGGCGTTGTATTTTGGTAGACAGTGCATCATTCTTATATGTAAGGCCATTCTTATTCTCTCCCATATCACTTTCATCTTTTTGAAATTGCTGGTTAATCCTGTTCCAAACACGGTAATTTACATTCATCTTCCCTATTTCTTGTTTAGGTTGCTTCATGGCATCGCCATCTGCTCCAAGTACACACTGTTTTCGATCGCCTATATGCAATTTAATATATAATGAAAATAGTTGAGGCCAATTACATACAGCCAATTCAAAAAGAGTTGTCCTTTGCAAAACTTAAACTCTAAGCGCATAAAGCTTAATAGGAGCACCAATTTCAAGCTTAGTAGTTGAATATTGCAGCTATTTATGAATGAATTGTTCTCGTTAGGAGATATTTACTATTCCTTTATTAAATGGGCCCCATATAATTATGATTTCTAATTACAGGACGTGACAAATGCCAGTACCCTGCTCAGCCGACAAGACTTCATATGTAACAAACAGAACGGCTACGTTTGAAGAAGTTTATTAAAAAAAGGTATATTAGATACAAAAACTAAATTTTCGGCTGCATGCCACAGCCTTCTTCAGAGTGCCTAGCTTTACACAGAACATACTTATATACAATAAATTATGAATAAATTACTATTGTTGGGCGAAATCATGACTACTATTAAGGCCTTTCCGGTTGGTCAACAATTGAGATTGCGTCCCATATGTTCTAAGGACGCTGATTTTGGGGAAAAAACTAGGATTTATATGAAATATCTTACGGATTGCGGCCATGACAGTGCACATGTTAATAGAGCCTTTGAAAACAGAAGCGATAGATAAAAAAGTTCTAGAATCTCGTTCTATTTATCCTGAACTGAGATGTTGGTTTAGATTTCGAGATGATTCTATTGTGTTATGGCGGGGAACCATGGAACGGCTTCAAGCGTTTTTTCAGGATCTCAACACATTCGACCCGCATCTACAGTTTACTATGGATGTCGGTGGGCGTAGTTTGCATTTTCTCGATCTTTTGATTTCCATAGTTAATAATCGTATGGAAAATACAGTTTATAGTAAGCCTACGGACGCACACTTGTATCTCAATGCCAATTCGTCGCACCCAAAATCTCAAATTTTGGGTATTGGCAAAGCAGTGGCATTGAGATTGCGTCGCATATGTATTAGGCACGCTGTTTTTGGAAAAAAAGTAGGATTTATATGAAATGTCTTTCGGATTGCGGCCATGATAGTGCACATGTTAATAGAGCCTTTGAGGTGGTTGGTGCTATGACTCGTGAGGAAGCGCGTACTAGTAGACGTAAAGTTCGTCGTAATTCCTGTGTTTTTGTTACCAAGTTTAATCGTAGTGCTTCTGATATTCGAAAAAATTTTCGTAGACATCGCTCTGTTTTAGATAGTGCTGAACAGGCTAAAAAAATTCTACCGGAGATTGCTCTTCTTGTTTCGTATAAGAGTAATGCCAATTTGAAGGAGTTATTAGCACCATCTAACCCATATAAGCCTAATAAACTGGAAGGTGAAGGCTGGCAAACCTCGTTCCCAGGGCTTTTCCCTTTTTGTCATTGGGAAGGCGGGAAAAGGCCCTGCAACCGGCCGGTCACATGACTTTCAACACCCAGATACAGTGGGGGTAATAAATTAAAATAATAATAATTAGAAAATCCAAGATGGCCGCCAATCTAAGAGTGTCCACAAAATTTAAGTGCTTAGAGCGGCTTAAAAATGCGTTTAGTCTTTGAATTTTTTCCTTCTTTTCGCTACCGACGTACTCGAAATCAGATTCTTCAGCTTTTATTACCTGGGAACTATGTAGTTGCTGTCTTCCAACTGGGTTTGGTAAATATCGTTCGTTCGCTAAACAAAATTAACAGATGTTCTCCATGCTGGACAGGCTTGCCTAAGAGGACACGGAAAGTGTTTTGAACTGGGGATGTTAAACTTGGTTTTATCCTTCCAGAGACTCTGCTTTGCGACGATTGGAGCGAGTTTATGAGGAATATTTTATACAGTGATTCAAAGAAATTTTTTTGCATATACTGCATATGTTATTGATCTATTGTTGAATGTCACTTATATTATAAAGTGCCAATGGTTGGAATATTTATTCGTTAATATTTTAAACACAGATTAAGTGTTATATGCTTTTTCCTTGTTTACGTTTTCCTTGCAGCCAAATGTTGTTGAAGCTGGCAAGCTGCAAAACTGACATATGAGTGATATGACCCAAATATTGGATATGCATCTTAGTTTGCTTCGAGTAAAATGTAAAGAAGACCTGAAGAATTCTATACGAGATAAGAAATATTCCGTTTAAAATCATGACTGGCAAATTAGCATGTGCGAATTGATGCTTCCTAATAATAGTATGTACTCCAGTAAAGCTTGCTTGCTTCAATTCTTGCTGTTACCATCTGCACATTATCAGGGTGGAGAGTTGATTTGAATTTTTTGTCCCAGGGGATAAAGGTAGGGAATAGATTTTACATCACAAAAGGGACAAGGTGCCCAACCAGTTAGAAGATGGAATGTACTTTAAGCGACCATTCATTATACCCTAGGGTGGGGTGGAAGATTCTTATGTCAAAATATCATGGGACCCCTTTTTAATCTCTTAATTTAATAATGGAGACCCCTCCTAAATATTTAAGACTATATAAGATGATGAAATTCTAATCTTCATTCATGTTAATACCTGACTATGAAGAAAATACATTTTGCAACACAGGGATGGATCCAGCATGATCTGG